AAACAGGAACTTCAGTTGAGTGGACATTCAGTCTCCAGTGGCTCCCGTGACTATCAGCAGTGTTGCAGTATTGCTTTGCAGTATTAAAGAACCCCACCCTATTTGGATTTTTGCAGCCAAAGCCTATGTCATTCTACAAGCATGTCGGGCCACTGCAGAGAGCCCGAAGCTAACGTGGAGATGAGGAGCGGGTCAGGCACCAACGGAAGCATAATGGATTCCTTAATGAATGTGGCTGCATGGGCTTCTTCTTTCCGTGACGATGGCAGCAGTAGTAGCATTTTAATTAAGGATCTTATTCCAAAACAACTCAGGAAAGTTATCTAACGCTGAGTTTTCAATATATTTCTGGCTCTATGAAATGTACACATTGTGCTAATTCATTCATAAATATAAACAAAAAAATATGCAGCACACACACACACTAAATAAATACAGTGTACAGTAACACCCCCCCCCTCAGCACTAAATTCCTCGGTCGCACTAGTAATGACATACGGGAGAGCAGGAGCCACAACCGCTAGCTTTGGGTAACACACACACACACGCACACACACACACGATCCTCTCAGGAAGGGACGGGAGCAGGTGGCAAGTCAGGGGTATGCTCTAGTCCTGGCAGGATATTTATAACCTGCTCGAGTAGGGGCTGTCACCCCCAAACAGCCATGAAACGGCTGAAAATAGGTGCGGGAATGAGTGTGTGCTTGTGTGTGTGAGAAAGAGATGCCGAGACGGAGACAGAGACAAAAGAGACACACACTACAAACAACATAGAGACCTCCTAGACTGTTGCATGTATGACATATTTCATTCCTCTCCCTTGCAGAGTCCACCCATTCAGCTGGGACTATGTAATCATAATATGGCACGTTCAGATACACCCACACTCACACACACACTCACACACACACAATCAGGTCTTTAGGGAATTTGCAGCCACATGTGATCTGAGTCATGTTTTTTTTGTTCCAGCAAGATCCAGAAGTTCACTGTGCAGCACTGTGTGAAAGTAAAGTGACTTTACTTGAAATTCATTTTCTTTCTGTTTATCCATCTCGTCTGACACACAGCATGCCGGAGAGTGATTTACTCTGACATGTAAGAGAACGCACACATTCTGGTGCATAGCCTTGGTCCTAAACCAACAGACACTTTTTTTTTTTTATTTTAGTCTCTATAAAAGTCCTCCAGAGGCTTTAAGTGGCTTGCTCCTAAATCCATAGATGTTCCTAAATAGAGCCAGCAGCCAGGCAGACGGCGGGTCAGAACCTAACAGTAACCTATACCACTTCCTCTTGAACCCGGAGAGACATGATTAACAGGGATCAAGTGGATCGTCCGCCACTCTCTGTATCTATTTCCATCGTTCCTCGCCAACGATCTCATTTTTTACGCAGCAGGAGTGAGAAATTCACGAGGCTATCAAAATCAAACTTTTGACCAATCTCATTAACATTATGAGATTACTATCGCATCAAATTTGTGCGTCTGATGCAGGAACCTTTAAAACACACGTTCATCCTTCGGTACGCAAGCATGTGCTGCACAAGATGCTTCAAAAACCACAGAGGAAGAATATTTTGTAAGAGAGAGAGAACTACGTTGGTGTCATCTAATTCGGAAAGGTAGTAGTAATTCTTTGGATTCCTTTGGTTGATGTCTGTTAACTAGTATGCGGTGAATGTAGTGTATAATAATTAAACAAAGTCCAGCTTCGTCTTCTGAGTCAAATGATAAAACACTAAGCCGTATGTCTGGCTATTTGAAACAACTGAAGCAATAATGTACATCCAAACATACAGAACTTCTATCATGATCTTTTATCCTCAAACTGCAAAATGCTTTTTTGCTTTAGCTCCTAATGGACTCCACATACTGTACGATCAGAAGCGAGGCATTTCTGCCATGCACAACCCCAATGTTTACTGTTCCCTAAAGAGCAGTTATTCACTTACCTCAGCAAGTTGAAGGATGTCAGGATGCACCTCAGCCTCTGCCTTTATGGGGATTCCTCCTGGGTCAGTATCAGGTCCATGTGTCTTCATCCTGCCAGTGCTCATGCTGTGAACGCACCCCATACTTCCAGAAGACTCCTCTTTTCGCCTCGTATCTTTAATTTCCTCGACTCTTATCCGCTCCTTCCGCAGAAGTGCTTTGCTCCAGAAGGTCCTCCTCCTCCTCCTCTCAGCGCTTCATGTTATGAAGGGCCTCCTTAAGTTTCTGCGACAGCCAACGTCTTCCTCTCCAACATGCTCCTTCTTCCCCAGTGACTCCTCACACCTCTGCCCTTCTCTCTGACAGCCTGCCCTGCCTTGAAATCCACCCCAGATGACTTTTTTTTTTTTCTCTCCTTTCCCCCCTCTCCTCTTACAACCTCTCTTTCACCCCTCCAAAAAAGTGTCACCACGCCCAGACCTCTCCCACCTCCCCCCCCCCCCCCCCCACCCACCTCTCCTCTTACACTTTTCCCTGTCCCTTGCTCTCTGGCTATCCTCACTGTGCAAAGCATGCAAGCATACACTCACCACCTCTTGCTTCCCTCCCCCCTTTTCACTTGCCAATACCTTCGTCTCTTACAGACCCTCAAATGTCTCATACGTCGCTCTCTCCCACTCCACACTTACAGGCCCTCCACTCTTTCCCCCTCTCTCTCTCTCTCTCTCTCTCTCTCTCTCTCTCTCTCTCTCTCTCACTCCATCAGGCTCCTCTTGCTGTCTCTCCATGGGGGAGAAGGGGGCAGCTGTTTTGACTTGTTGATGTCAGGCCCTTCCTCTTTCCTTTGGCTTCACTTCAGCTCCTCTAACCCTCCTCTTCCTCATGGGGGAGTGATTAGATAGAGCCTCTTTCACACACGTCATCCCTCTAGACTCTGTAACTTTGCACATGAGAACCTAATGTATCGATCATCCCACATCTTCCTCCCGTCAGCTTGTTGTGAGGAAGTGACGACTTGCGTGCCTGCGTTGCTAGTAAACAGGATCCCTGCATCTCCCTTGGACGTGAAAATACTAAGATGTAATAAATCCCAAGACCCTGTTTAATAGGACACGTGCCAACACCATGAATGTCCTCTCTTTTCTTCCGTCTATTGCTCCCCAAACAATGATAGGCTCTGTGCTTACATCTTAGATCTGCTACTCCAATAGTTAAATTCCTTCAGACTGCATCTCCCCCCCCCCTCTCCCTCTCTCTCTGTAACACGCATACACAACTGTATTTCTCCAAACCGGGATCTCCAGACAAAATACTGCTTCAAGCTGGAGGTTTTAGGGTTGCGCAAGGAAAATCTCACACAATAAGCTCTTTCTAAAACCATGTTTTAGGCCTCTGGTTAGACCATGCAAAGCAGTCATTGGTTTAAAGTGAGACAAATCTGTGGCCGTGAGCTAAATTAGCCGAAGAAACCATCAGCATGCATTAGTAAGTGCATAAGTGAAGTTTTCATGTCTCTGTGTTACAGTCTCGACGTCAGCAGACACAGTCATGACGGATTATAGATTTAAATAGAGAACTTGATGGCATGTTTCATTTGATACATCATCTAGGGACCTGACTGACGCAAACCCGAGTCATATTGTGGCTTGAAGTGGATGGAAGGACCCTCCTGTGTGGACCAGCTGCTGATTCACATGGCCACAGGGGTGGGGGGGGGGGGGCGAATGGCGCACAAAGACGTCTCTTTTTACCGTCACATGCAGTAGAGAAGTATTCAGATCTGTACCAGGTAAAAGTGGAATTACTATATAAAAATAGCATGCATTAATGTTAGATTATTTCATTAATCCCAGCGTTACAATTACAGAAGCTTAGAGCAAAAGAACAAACAAAAGGTAATGAGTATAATTTAAAAACCTTTCATCTTGTTGCCGGTAAAAGTGAAGCGAATGACCACTTTTTACACAGTCGGGTGATTAAAACGATGAGCATTTCATGTTTACATGTAAATAGTAACTAAAACACTATTTCCCACTGAAATGCAGTGATGAATAAAAAGCGTAAAATATCAGTACTTATTAAAAGTGTGCTTGATTACAGTACTTGAGTAATACTCCAGTTATTCCACCACTGGGCACACACACACACACACACACACACACACACACACACTTTGCAACCTCACAATGAAGAGGAATCCTTTGCTCACTTCGCTATCATGCAGAACTACATGAAACCGTACAAACAGCAGGGATGAACTTTTTTTCCCTTTTACTTCACCCAGATGTTTTATCTCCTAGAATGGCACCTGAACTCCGGTACATTACTTTATATCTTACCAGTTTCCCTTTTCAGTGCCACCATTAACAGAGACACGAATAAGAAAAAGCCCTTTTGTCTCTTACATTGTCCGCCAAGTGAGTCAGCATATTTCTGTCTCACATCCACACACTTTATGCTCTACGAGTGGCTACTTCATAAAAACAATATACTCTAAAATCAATGTACTCTGAACAAATACAGGGACGATTTGTTTATAGCGGTGATAAAAGTAGCAGACAACTGAGCTTCAGCATACACAAACTCCTTCATGAGACTAATTGCTTTCCATGATATATTAAACATGTTTAAATCTCCATTAGGTATTGATATTACACCAATGTATTTCATATTGGTACCCTTCCCTCTGCCAGGCACTAGTATGCTGAAGAGAAAGGCTTGCTACTCAGGGCTCTAGAGGAGTCCTGTGTTACAGCTTAGTGGGTGCCCTGTGTGTCTGTGTGGGATGTGAAGCCCAGCAGGATCCTAACCAGCTGCCACCAGGAGCCCAGAGCTCAGCAGGGGGCCGGGACTGAAGAAATACTGTAAAATGTTAGACCACACCAGGAGAACAGCAAGCGGAGGAGAAATACTTTGTTGTTGCACGTAAAAATGGTTTGTTTGACGATGCAACTCACCATCATGTGACTGACACGGTCTGATGGTAAGTGTGTAGGAACTAGCCATTTCCCAAACCACCGAATCCATCCAGAAACGCATACATAAGAAATGACCACATACTATTTGAACGCACAAGATGACCCCAATTTATTGAAAATTGGAAGACATGTTCATGGAAATCCTCACATCCTAGGCAACTCCAGACTTTCCCCAAATATTTTGTATTACTCACTTCTGAAAGAGTGAATGATTTAGACAGCTGTGGAGCATCTTTAAGACAGCTTTAAACAACCATTATGAGCCTTTAATGGTTTTCATCAATGCAATGACTGAGGATAATAGTGATGGCACTAAATTCAGTGAGAATCGTGCAGCGGCTGTGTGTTTTCTTTTCTTTTTGAAAAATATTAGTCACTCCTGCAATACTTTAGTCCATTACACAGTCCTCTATTGCAATACTGTGAATCAGCTTGGAAGCAGTTCAATCATGCTACATGGTGCTGCACACATGACAAATGGTTTTACACTGGTAACCCATCTCAACAGTTATGATGCAGTATTGGAAAACGGGGTTTTCTTGAACAATTTTCGTGAATAAATTTGATTTAGGCGATTGATTTAAAATAATTCTATAATAATACTTTAATTTAGAATAAAAAGGCTTATAATGAATAGTAATGCATTTGATCCAGTAATTATGCCAGTCAATGAATCAAAAATGGATAAAAAGATATTAAAAAAAAAAAAAAAAAAACAGGTTCCACTTAGTAAACTACATCTTCTGTCATATCATCCAACCTCACCACATCAGTGATACACAAATATACAAATTCATTTTTTCCCCACTTTTTCCATTTATTTATTACAATTAATTCAATGTTATCCATCACTTTTCCATGTGTCAGCTACTCCTTTTCCATTTAAAACAAGTCCAGTATGCGACTATTCTTAAGAAGCTGAATAGTCCTGAAGTTGGGGCGGGGGAGGGAGGATGGGTGGGTGTTTTGAAAGAAAAAGGACAGGTTTGTAGGAGGAAAGGAAGGAGGGAGTGAAGTCCTCCCAGGAGCCTCTTCCATGTGAGGAGTTTTTTCATAAGCTATGTGAGATTACTTTTTCAGCGGTCATCTTCTTCTCCTCTTCTTCTTCTTGCGCTTTCGGGTCTTGTCTCGTTATCTTCTTTCTATTCTACGTCCTCTGCGTCATCTCCTTGGTCTTCGTCCATTAGCAAAGCGGCGTACTTACTGGCTGAGCTGAACTTCTGAAGGCAAAACAAAAACGGAACCTGGATCAGAACGGTTAGCTTTGGATGCTAAACAAATAAGAGCGTATACAAAAGACAAGATGTCAAGGAGGATGCATCATTAGGGGAAAAAGGGATGTTTTTAAAGCCTATAATGTACGGGGGAGCACTGGTAAAACAACTCAAGGCTTTAGGGGACACCCTTTAATGAAGTATAATTTAGGTGAAGTCTGACTAATCCTTGGCAGTGAAGGACTTACAGGGGCTGGGGCTCCTTCAAATTTCTTTGGCTCTGGGGGTGGTCTGGAGTCTCGGTCTCTTCTGTTATCCTTTCTACAATCAGAGCGAACACTGAGGTTAAAATCTATTGGTAGACCTCAGTGCTTCTGCTGTGAATCCTCAAACACACACAGCTTACAAGACAAACGAAAAGGAGCAAAAACTATATTTCCATCATCTGAAAGCTGCTTGGCACCCAGTTCACACCGTGCTCAGTTCTCATTTTCAGAAGAAAAGCCTCAAATAAAACTCAAATTTCAGGTCCAATTTATGTTTTACTGTTGATATTTTAGCGCTATAATGAATCATTTCTTGTGCTACACCATGTGGATATCTGGAGTAGAGAAGGTAAAGCATTAAATGTGCACACCAGAAACCCTGGCTGACCAGAATGTCGTGAAACTGAGCATAGGCCATTCTTTACAGATGCCCAGAAAAAGTTCTCCTAGTCGCATTAAGAACTTCGGAGTGGCTAGCTTTGGATGGCTGACCTGTCTGCCTCCTTTCTTCGGTCTCTGTTGGGACCCTCTCCTCGGGCCCGCCCTGCTCCAGGCCCTGCAGGCCCCCCTCGTGCCCTTGGGGGACCCCGGTCCCGACGCATACCGTCAGCCTTGTTCTCATCTTAAAAGAGAAGCCAGACAGTTGAGTGAAGGGAGGTTGTTGGACTTCCTACAGTAGACCACACTCACAACACACTGCAGCATAGGACAGCCACTGGGTTGGATTCATGAAGTGCAAGTCACTGATGTAGGGCCAGATGAGAGGTGCACAACTGCTTGAATGCAAGCTGAGCTTGTACAGTGCAACTCATTTCATTTAAATTTGATATTGGCTCGAAAGCTGTGACAAAGGTGCCAAAACAATGAAAAGCAAGTCAGAGTACTGCTAATAATGAAGGTATTCAGTGTTTGTACATTGGGAAAGATTGCTCGAGTCTGAACCCGATACATTTTCTTTCTCAAATCAGAATGGTGGTGCATGTGCATATTATTCTGCACCATACAATGCAGACTAATATGACAAATATTTCAGTGCTCCCCTTGTAATGAATACACTCTTAGCAAGAAGATACACAATAACACTGCATGTACAGTAAGGATTGGACACCCTGTCTGTAGAGTGAAGTTTGACCTTTTATGAATTGAAAGATCACAGATCAGTTTACAGGCAAACCTTAGTTGCCTTTTCTGGACCACAGAAGAGTTTGAAACCATTTACATATCAGCATCAATGATCACAAAAAGGAAATATTTAAAAGTTTGCAAAAACTATTGGATGCTGAATAACACTTTACCCTTTTAAACACTTCCTTCCGTTGATGACAAAACCTCTAAAAACATCTGAAACTAATGACTGAGTTCCCATCAGTTATTTGATTTAATTGCAAGTGATTTAAAGGACACTGAGCTTCATAAGAAGAGCCTTAAAAAGGCCACCTTACAGAGACTAAACCACTTGGATTAAGATAACTTGACCTCTCCACTGGTCCTAAACTTTGCATTTTTGCCTCACTAGTAAATGGGAATTTAAGAACAGCAATGTTGTCTCATTTTCATCCATCCACTATTTTTGTTTTGGGACTTTTGTTGCCAATATGGTTCTGGACATTCATGTCTTCATCCAAAGTCTCCATTATCACACATGATTGCGATGTATGAAAGTGGTTACAAAACTGTCTTCAGCTTTCTTTGCTTTTGTTTAGTCCTTTCATAGTTAACATAGTTTGCTCGATTGTATTTATAGTCTATACTGAAGTTTGGTTTGGGTAAAATCTCCCTTTCATCAGTAGGCCTTACCTTTTCCAGATTCTCTTTCATCTGCAGAACTCGGGGAGCTGAAGAGAAAGTAAGAACAATCAGGGAAAGGCATACAAAACACTCACTTTACTTTGACTCTGAGCAGTCTGTCTAACATGCAGTATGTTGAGTTCTCACCTGAGCTTGGGAGGAGTTGAATCACTTGGAGAGACAGGAGAAACTGGAGGTCGCCCATCACCCTCGCTAGAGCCTGTGCTGGCTGCACTTCTCTTGGCCCAGACGTTCTCCTTTGGAGGAGGTGCAGGCACCACCTTCAGCGGCTCCTTGGAGCTGCTGATAGGGGGGGGCAGCGGTGAGGTCCCAGGGGAGGAGGGCTCACCTTCTCTCGCACTGAAAACCTCATTCTCTCCAGAGCGCTCACCATCTCGACACCGGGAGCCTGGTGGAGTAAAAGAGGAGCACGTTGTTTCTTACCGTTTTATATCACAATAATATTTTCAACTCTTTTACCACTTTATAAGATATTCACCAAATTTTGTTTGTCTTGGTGGTTTTGTTTAAAGAACACTGCCAGAACAGAAGACGGCAGCATTTTTTTAGACAATAAAAAGTCTAAAAAAGGGACACAAAATAGGATACACGCTCCCAACAATACTGCCCCTTCAGGCTTATAAGGAGAAACCAGATATCTGAAGGCAAGCTCCATCAGGATTAAATGCAGAGTTATCTCACCTCTTCCAGAAGTACTTCCTTGCTGTGAAGACTCACTTCCTGTGCGAGAACGCTGAGTATGAGTTTCTTCAGTACGCCAGCTTGGGTCCCTGAAAACAAAACAAAACAAAACAAAAAGCTTACAAAAGGCCTGCACAAAACATAACACAATCACATAGATTCTTTGTATCGTATGATGTTAATACACATGTAACTTTTAAGTGCAATGTGTCTGCCCTTAAAATCTTCCTGAAATATATTTAATCATAAATAAACTCCAAGCAAACTTGAGTATTAGAAAACTATCCCAAATAGAGTCATCATCTCATCAAAACTAAGGTGTAGACTATTGATATCGACCCCTGACCTGTCTCGCATCTTTCTGTCGGGTCCCCGGCCTTTGTCGTCCTCCAGCTGCCTCTGCAGTCTCTCTTCCTCTTTCTTCAGCCTTTCCTCCACCTCCCTCTCCTTGGCTGCTGTGTCAACCGGCTTGGCCGCACCAAAGATGGACGAGGTCCTGCTGCCGGAGCTCGGGGGTGCAGCTGGGGTGGTACCACCGCCGCCACCGCCACCACCGCCACCACCGCCACCGCCACCACTGCCTCCTCCACCGCCACCACCTTCTTCGTCCTTGGGCATGCTACGGGGCTTAAGGACCAACTTGGGTCTCTCCACAGCAGCTCCTGTGCGAGCAGGAAAAAAAAAAAAAAATATAT